TTACAAATGCTACTGGTCTAGCGTCGTTCGTTAAAATTTCACATTTTTCCTTATCGCGTTCGTCTAAGGTATCTGTTCGGTGACAAACCATGTTTCACTATGTACATATACGTCACTCTATAGCGTTTCCCTGTATATCTCTTTCCTTTTATTTTACGGTTGGAAGATTTTTAAAAAGACATTCTAAGAGTTCAAAGTCCCTACTGAGTTACTCGAAGTCCTCGAGGTCTTCGAGTTTCTTCGCACAAACGCGGACGTGACGTCCGGCGAGAAAGGTTTTCTTCTACTGTCTATCTATAGACTGTATCGTATATACGTATACACACACTGCGCTGGTGCAGTACATTGTACATTGCGTAAACATTCAGAACTCGCATTACGTTTTGCATCGACAGACTGTTTTTTTTTCTTCCATTTACATACCCTAGCCTGGTGGGATTGCAGTATCTGTTGAAAATCCAATAATGCAAATTGCCACAGTGTTATCGTATCGACATTGCAGCACGTGTGTAATGCATTTTTTGGATTTTAGAGGGTATAGTGTATATGTATCTTTTTTTAACTGTATTTTTTATATGTTGATATACAATGTATGGAAATGAAGACTATGATTTTTTTATAATACAGTATTGATTCTTCTAGCCCCAACTGAAATCCAAGACTGATTCGCATTTTGTCAGAGGAACGTGACTGCGTCCCGGAGCATAAATTGTGTGTAATTAACCAGAAGGTCAGGTCGGCTGAATCGACGGTAGTGTCGGCGACGGGGAGCTTCTATACAATATATGGGGGAACAAAGGGCAGCAACGGAAGTTCGCAGTGGAAGTTTCCGAGTGTGAGCTCCTCTCGTATTTCCTTGTGAATGCCGATAATGTCGCGAGGAAAGCAACTCGTGCCAAATTTCCGTTCGTGGTCCAGCGCAGAAACCGGGTGCGAAGATTTGGCAAAACTTTTACGAATTTTATCCGAAACATTTAAAGTACGTGGACCTTAGTCAGAGGTGAATAAAATGAAATTACGTAAACATCGGGAAATATAACGATCAACTGGAAGCTCTTTTCTAACTCGTCTACTAATCTCTGATGAAGCGTGCCTGGTATACTATATATGTATGTGCGTGGGAAATGAAAAGAAAGAAAGAAAAAGGAAAATGATGAAATTTTCGTGGAAAAAGAAAAAAAAAGATCACTAACAACGAATACGTTGTTTCGGTAGTCTTAGTTGGTGAGACGAAGCAGCCCCTGGCATTCTACCCAGGTTCCGACTTTAATTTGCTAGGGATCAGTTCGTTATTGGAATTAGGTATCGAACAAATGAGAGTTGGACGTAATAATTAAACCTGTTTCAGGGAGGATATCTATGCCTGTAGTACCGAGGATTATGTAAGAGTACCTATAGCTCACTTCAGATTGGTATCCATGTACAAATACTTTTTGTCATGGGGAATCCTCTCTTATTCATTTCCTTTTCCTTTTTTTTTTTTTTTTTATATTTTTTTACTCTTATTGTCACGTTCCTTTATTAAACGGATATATCCGCATAAATTATGCTTATGAGACGCTTCGTATTTTCCCGCCAGTTTTTCAAGATTATACTTTCAAATTCCAAAGGTTCTCCAGGCACTTTCTATATACGTGCGAGCAATGGCAGGAGATTCCGCTGAGCGTCAGAGCGTTATGGCTGATCGTGAAGTTTCATTCCAGCTCGTCGGAATTACCTGCAAAGGTAGAAATCTACCTGTTCACGAGGAAACGTAACAAAGCATTCTTTGCGGAATTCGAATTTCCCGCGTTTATTAAAGCCACTGTTCACTTCGTGTTCAGCAGTCTGCCGACCTATAATTTTACGGTCGAACAGAATTTTTCGTAAAAATTCAAATTACGTTTTCCAACCGTACACAGCAAGTATAAGCAACATACTTTTATACGTGCAGGACTAAGAATGCCATGGCGTTTTCATTCGTTTTTGAAAATATTTCATAATCCTCCGTAGGAGAAGCCGACGTTGTACCCTGGAGGCATTGAAGATTCTGCGCCGCTACTTCAAAGGTTCAATCACTATAGCCCTGAAGCATGCAGACGGGATTACGCTTTCCTAGCTCGCAGTAATTTTCGTGAAGAAGAAAAAATTTGAAGAAAAAATGGAAATGAAAAGGATGAATGTAAAATTATGAATAAGAAAGAAAAAAAAAAAAGAAAATCGCAGTATCGAGGTAAACCATAATTATGTCCCTAGGGTCTTGATTCTCTTAACAAGACTCGGGTGGTTAACGAGCCGAAGCGGGGAATCCCCGTTCTTAAGTTCTTATTAAGGAGTCGTAGGGCTTCCCCAAAATCCTTGGATTTCGTTTTCGGTCAGAGATAAAATATCACGTGATCGGAAGGATCGGTATCTGTCACAGGGGGTTGTTTTTCATGAAAAATTAATAATCCGTTATCCGATGGTCTTGCGTGGCACACTTTGAAAATTTGTTTTTCAATTTGTTTTTTCATTTTTTTTTTTTTTTTTTTTTTTTTTTTTTTTTTTTTTTTTTTTTTTTTTTTTTTTTTTTTCCTTTATATTTTTAACGACCTTTCCGTATGCTTTTTGCTGGCGACCTCTACAAATTAAACTCGTGCCTCGTTACACCACCGACGTATCAACGTGTTCCGTTTCACGAGATTCCACCTTTCTTTAAGCCACGGACGAGTTCCTGGTCTTCGTATGTTTTACGTGGTAAAAAAAAAGTTCCGCCATTTTCTGGCTCGGTGAACCGCGGTAAGGTTGGTTCTCATGTCGCGAAGTTCACTGCGGTTTATAGTTACGTAGGGATCGTATACCTTATAGATACTCTTGAGACGCATGTGAAGGAACGATGAGTGGAATCAAGCGAAATCGAGATCGCATCCCTTCTTTAAGTGTAACCGGAAGTTATTTTGTGAAATTACATCCGGGTCCCGCTTTTCGACTTTTATACTCGTTTTTCTTCGGTCACGTCCATACCCCGCACTTTTAGTGTCCTTCTGGGATTTTCTGCTTTCTCGCCAATGCCAAATCCTTTTACCATTCGCGCGATTCTTGCTCGATTCGTTGATTTTCAAAAATTTCTCCCAGCAAACTCGGCACTTCACTTTCTACGATAATGCATCGCATAACGAATTTCCTTGAGAAAATACGCTGACAATATCTTTCCAGTTTTCGTTAGTCGCGAATCGACGCTGTGGGTTCAGCATTTTTCGTATATGATAACGAAATATCTACCGACCAACCACGACGACGTAGACAACAGACAAGGGACTCCTGTTTGCCCGACTACTGGAATTCGATGTACTTTTACTTTTTGTAAATTCCACATGGCCTTTCTTGCGGCTGCGCATTCCAAGGAGACGAAGGTCGGCACTCGGAATGCAGGAAATATCGTGATTTTGAATAGATCACTGCGTGGATGTCTATTTGTTGTACAGGAATTCAATATGGCTGATTTCGCGTCTGATTTAACCTGAGAAATTCCGATTCTCGAAAATTCGACAGTCTGACTAGCGCGTTATGCAATGTAAATAAAAACGATTCGTACGTACCCAAGAAAGGTCGGGTGAAAAATGAGGAATAAGAATTTTCGTCTTTTCCTTACAAACTTTTCTTTTGTGCCAGTGGGGGAACCATGTGTGAAATCCAAAAATCGTAATATAACGCGCTATCGCAAAGCGCAGAGATTGGACTCTATTCACGACTAATCTATAATCAGCTTCCTTTTGTCCGCACGGGAAAACCAGGAAAAACAGACAATACGGATCCTCAAGTTCCCCTTTGGAATTTCTCGGTATCAAAATTTTCTAAAGAACGCACGGGGACCTCTTTGATACAAACGAAAAAAGAATGATAACGTCGAATCGCGAAACGGCACAAACAGAATGGAGTAAATCTGTCTCCTTTCTTTTCTTTCGGTACTAATTGACTTGGTGTCTTTTCACAGATTCTTGTCCTCGCGAAGAGCGACGAGTAGACTTCCTAATGAATTTAAAGAAGTTTCAAAACTCTTGGCTGAGAATGTCCTACGAAGTTGACATTCAATGGAATTGAATCACCAGTCGATACAGCAAGGCCAATTATAGAAAGTCAAACACAGTAAAGTTGAGGCGCGGAGACCAGAAATGCATTAATATGTAATCCAGGTAATACGATTAGAAATAATTTTTGTAAAAAATGTAACTTTATAAAATATTATTTTCTCGACAAATTTCTATAAAGTCACCTAAAAATTTATGATACTGACGTCATAGGCATCTAATATACTTTCAAGGAATGGGAAACCTAATACTATTAAAATTCTTAAAAATACTATTTTGATCCAATAACGAGTACAGTATTGATAACTTATCCAATCCAGACTAAAATAATTTTGACAATATAAATAAAATCATCCGATAGTCAACCAGTAGATCTCGTGTTATATTGTAAAACAAAAATCAAAATTGTATAAAATGAACTGTATCACAAAGTGACAGATAACTTAATGGTTTTTAACCTGTGAAAAAGATAAACTTCGAGTTAATCGAAGGATCTAAATGGCATCACCACATGATAACCACGTGAACAGTCATGAATTCACAATTATTTAAGAAACCCAATTAAAGTTTCACTCGGTCGCACTTAACGTGTATCTCACGTGTACGATATATATCCTCTTCGCAATAACTTCACATCCGTATATACAGCAAGGACACGTCAAACTTGCCAATTGCTCGAAAATCTCAAAAAAGGACACACACTCGTTTCACGCACCAATTATTACCTCCGTTATGAAAAAAGTAACGATTAATCACAATTTCAGAGGGATGAAAAAAAAAACCGAAATCTCCGAATTAACGCGACAGTCTCAAGCGAGTCTCGAGTCGATCCTGACTTCTAAGCACCGTTACCACAGAGTAAAATTCCCATGAGATTTTCCATCGGCAGTGATCACACAATCCAAAGTAACAGGTGAACGGGACGATTTATGAAATTCATCGATTACGACTTACCGCCGACAAGCAAGAGAAGACAAATAATAGCTCGTTGAATTTTCCCGCTTTGATTATCCATCGCACTAAGTGTTAACGAGCGTGACACTCATAAACGTCTTAAGTCATCAAAGGAAGCGCGATCGAAATCACGAGGTATCTCGTTTCGTCAGTCAACCTGATAAACGCGAATGACTTGCCGAACGCGAGTCATTAACTCGACCGTCTAATAAACGTAGACGTGGAAATCGTACGTGGTATTCCCAAACGGGCCAAGGACCGTATACGGATAAAAGCGTTCGCGACAATTTCTGAGTTGCAACTGACGGGGATGCTGTACGAAGAGTTTGCGCCAGTCTCGCGCCCGCGCATACACGCTCCTTACCCCCTTCGTCCACCCTCCTTCTATTCCGCCCCGAATTCACTAGCAGGCAGAGCGAGTGCCCCAGTCCTTCGGTCCCTTGGTTCCTCCTTCCCACCCTTACCCACCCGTACTCAC